GGGGGGGGGGGGTACCTGCCCGAGTATTTTCAAGTTATTTTCATATTCATGTCAGAAAGTCATATCATTGGGGTTTTGATTGACAGTTAGTCGAATGTCTTTATGAAATGTCTGGGAGATAAGCAAAGTTGATGGCCACGACCGTTCGCCTGTTAAGTGCCCCGTCAATCACATTTTTTCTGCTTGAACGGAGCCGTACTAATTGGCCTTGTCTGCATTAGTGGAGCAGCGCCTTCGCATAGGGCCAGAGGGTCACTTTCTGTTCAGCTGTATCAGTACCGTATCGTTCATGCTTTCAGTCGCGTGAGCATGCATCGGACGCTTTCGCCAATGGCGACGGCGGCAATCACCGCATCGCCGCTCGCTTCTGTGATTGCGGACTTGTGCGAGCCCGGTCTGTTGGTGGTGTCGCGCGGCGAACGCGTGCGAGTGCTATCGCGTCGAGGCGACGTCGCTCGCTGTTGTCGCGTACACCGCCGTCGTGATGTCGTCTCCACTGGCATCGTGCCGCTGGGCAATCTTCTCATACGATCATGATGATCTAGTCTGGAATGACGTCGAAACTAACACACGTGCGTGCGTGTCCGCCGCGCCGCCACGACCGCTTCTCTACTATAGTCGAGGCCGGCATTCGATCTTATTGTAGCCTTGACGGCAATTTATTTACATTTGTTTACGTATACTTTACCAAATAAAAAGTAATAAAAAAGCGATCTCTTCGCGATGGTAATACTGTACATTGTTGTACCCTTTCTTGGTTGCATAAAGATGGAAATTTATTTCACACATTTGTCCGGTATCTTTTTTTTCTTCTTTTCTTTTTGTTTGTTTAATTATACATCACCACATCTTCCAGTAGTATTATCTGTACTTCACTGGTTCAATGCACGCTTGCCTAGAGATTTCTAGTCGTTCCCTTTAAAAGCCCTATTAAAAAAGGATATTTGTCTCGTTGTCATTGTAGTTTACTACAAATCAATATACGTATTTTTCGCATTCACAATGTAGCATTTCAACTGAATGTTGTCATATGTTGCCAAACAATAAGCGAATGAATGTTATTTATGAATTGTTTGTAAACATCCATATTGTTTGTAGAAAATGACTATAAAAGAGTGGTCTTGGGGCGTTAATCACTCCCGCCTGAGGGGTGCGTTCACGCATTCGACTTCTATTCAGAATCGTCGTGGTGCATTGAATGCGTATCTGGCCTAATGACTTGCGGTGGCCAGTCGTTGTACAAGTCAGTGCTTATATACTCCCAGACGAGTTTGGTACAATTTAACCGGCCCCGAAGAGATGGGAGGCTTTGTTGGCATAAGCCGATATCGATCTGGGGTTCGAACCCGGGACCATGTGTCTGTGATAGTGCGCCACTTGCCACTATACCACCTCCACCCTGGAGAATGACTATAATCTGGAATTGAATTTCATGAGTTCTAGTAGCTTTTGGTACCAAACCAAAGAAATTGAGGTTGAAGCAACCCGAATCCGAACTCGATTATTCGCGGAATCGAATTCTCCCTAATCCTAACCCGCACTGGAGCGCGGTTTTCCTTTTAATAAAATTCAGGGTGATTTTCCGCACTTTGATAAGCATTGATAAGAAGGCTACTAGCCTGCCTAGTGTCATCTGGTGTGGTAGCCCTGATTATCATTCCTTATCAAAGTGCAGAAATCGTATAATCCTGGATTCCGGCCACAATAAAACCGCCGAAATCACTCTCAGCAGGCCACGCAATCACTTGCATGGCATAAATTAAACTACCTTTGCAGATTTGGGCGAAATTCGGGTATCCTGTTGGACTGTTTTCGGCACTTTATGATCTAATCTTTACGAATTTTTGACAGTGTAAACAGATTATTGCTGTGTTGCTCGGTGAAGTTAATTTGTACACAAAGTTGGCGAGTTACAAAAAGCTTACAGCTGAACAAGCAAGCGGGGTCTCGGTAGTTAAGGGAGAAAGCGCACGGTGCCCGGACAGCCCAAATACAAGTTGGAGTACCGTCATAACATCAATTTAAATCTTTACATATGTATATCGAGGACGGGAATCGAATGGGAGTTGGAGTGAGCTGAGTTTGGGGAGCTGGAGTTGGGATGAGTAAAACTTCTAGAAGGAGTCAATAACAACAAACAAGCAAACGAAAGAACAGTTCATGGAAGCAGCTTCATAAAGTAAACGAGAAACTAGGCGCTCTTGTTTACTCTGCGAAGCGGAACGTTAATCTTCATTTTTCAAAAACACACCATGTGACTTGAAAACGAAAGCGCTCCAGTAAATATTATGAAAAGTCATCAGGGAGCAAAACCCCTACGTCTTTCCGATGGATGATGTCACTGGGAGACAAAAAAATTGGAGAGCTTGATGAAAATATTAGCGTGCCGATTGGTTCTTCACGACCTACCCTTTGCTCAAGTGGGAACAGCCGATTGTTCCCCGTTGAAAGAATTAATAATTTAAAAGAATGTAGTGGCCCATCGGACTCGTAAGCATCTCGTTATGACAGGACACTTGGCAGCTAAGGATTGGACTAATGCCATGAAGAAACCGAGGAGGAGAGAAAATTCCTCAGAGAAGCAACTCTTTTTCACCCAAGACATCATGAACGAAAGAAATTCGTCTTGCCTCAGTGGGCGGCTTTGATGGCGACTTAGGCTTGAATATTCCTTTTTGGGAATCCAATCGAAAATGGATCTAAAATTAGAATAAAACATAAAGTAGTTTTTGTTGGACTGTCCGGTCCGTTAAATTTGCCATGGAGTATGAACGTCCCGAAGCTCCAAAAGCCACAACCAAGTCGATGCGGAACTATTAGCATATTGTCCCTGCCTTATTGTCTTCATCAGGGCCCGCAACGTAGAACTATTTGAGACGTACCCCCACTAATTACTAATCCAAGTTAGGACTAGCTCAAAATGAATAAAAGCCTACTAGATTAGAACTGCAAATCTCAGAAGTTCAACTTAGCCTGAATGGTTTGTGATGTAAGTCAATTCTAAGCTTTAGGGCGAGTAGACTTCAGTTGTCGTGGCGCCTGACACAGTATTAAAAAAGTACTGATTTGTGATGTACTAGTTAAAAAAAGAAGGAAAGTGATCGCCATGAGATAACCTTTTGTGCAAGTTAGTTTGCCCTGGTGCTTCCCGGGCTAATCCAAAGGACCGACGAGTTTCGATGTTACAGACAGATGTTCTCTCGAAGAAAAGGCCACGAAAATTTCAAATCATACACTCCTATGACATTGCCCACGACGAACACCTGAATGAGTCTCGTCTCGATTGATTTAAGGGCTNAATAACGAAAGTATTAGTCAGCATAATGCATTGACTTTACATGTCACTTATCAAACCACCTTGGTGAACGATAGAGAAGTTGAGTTGCATCGGCCCTGCTAAGAGACCCCTGGAATCAACCAACCACATTTATATCCCCGTAAGCAAGAATCAAATCTGTGCTCGAGCCTACTGAAAAGGAGGGCGTTGGTTGGCATTAGTTGGGTCCGATCCTGAATAACTGGATACATATCTCTTACCCATTACGGTAACCAAATAACTGAAGATGTAATGCAACACCCACTCAACAACTTGTAGATCGAATTACGTCACCATTTATTCATTCGGTATTTATTATTTATTTACTTGATTATTTCAAAAATGTACATATATGCCTACTCCCTCCCCTCGGTTCCAGCTGCTCGGGAACTTATTGAAAATGACTCTTCGCAAAAAAAAAACCCAATTAAAATGAAAGTTCTCGGGACAACAAAAAGGAATCCATTAGTGAAATGGAAATGAAAAAAATTACTTTCATCTTTAAGAAACTCATGTGCGGAAGAATCTCTTTCAGGCAAATATCCGATTTCAGACCGTAGACCAATTTCACGTACTTGATGTTCTTATATCTTCCATAGGCTTTAAGAGCATTCTACTATAAGTTTTTCAAAAAAAAANAAAAAAAAACTATTTAAAAGCTCATAACCTAATAATCAATACATATAAGATGTAGTATGGTGGAGACGGTGTAGTGGCAAGTGTTGCTCTATCTCACACGCACAGTCACGGGCTCGAACCCCGGAGTCGGTGAGTTGGTACGACACTAGACTGGGAGGATAAAAGCAGTGACTTTTACATCAGCTGGCCACCTCAAGACAGTGTATAGGTCACATACGCACTCGATACGCCACAGCAATTTGAATGAAAGTCGATGCGGGGGCGCATCTTACAGACGGGACTGATTAACGTTAAAGAATCATCCTTTGCCTTTGCCTCGAAAGTTGGTAGATCGGCACAAAGGACGAAGTCAGAGAGGCATTCGACGGCTTCATCTAGTCCCAGGCCCGTCGTTCTGGGAGAGCGAAATCGGTAAGCTACCTGAGCGTTGGCGTCAAGCAGTGGATGGCGATGAAGCGTACCTCTGGTCTTCAGGCTGGTTCGCTATTGAGATATTTACAAAAAAAAGTCGGGGGGAAGAACATATGCATCAACCTAAGACCAGCATACTCCGACTCCCTTCCTATCGATCATTTCTCCTACTTAATCATCCCTTCCCGATGGTTTGTTTATCCCCAGAAACGCTTTTGGCTTGTCAATCACTTGATGAATCTGATTTATTCTCACAATTTCCTTTTCCATTTCGGGAGCAGCACAAAACGAATGTTCCCATGGTGGCTCTGTCTTGGAGGGAGGCATCCGTTTCGAAAACCAAAGAGTGGATCTCTTAGACAGTTCTATAGTCTGCTATGTATAGAAACCGATTTGCACTGCAGATTGAACCGGCACTCTCGAGAGACGAGCAGTAGGAACGGTTTTATGTAATTGATCCGCCGCGCGCGGCTGTCGCGGACCATTTGCCTGTAATAGCAATTCTAGCGTTCTTCATACAGCTCAATCACTATGCGTCCATTACTTATGGCATGGTTCTACTGTTAGTTCCTTTGATCCTGAATTTCTTACTTACTGCTGCTCTCTGCCACATTCCTTCGTGCGCGGCGTCTCTCGCCGCGACGCGACGATTTCTTCCTATTGCACCACACCCGGCACTCTCCACTGGAGAATGTAATGAGGGAATCATGGTTGGAGGTGATGAGTCGAAAAAGACGACCTTAACTAAGGCCGGGAAGCGCAGTGGGTGAGGATCTGGCATCATTTATGGTATTAGATAAAGGGTTCGGTTTCTGGTAGTAATGAGATGCGTTTCTTATACGGCTGAACAAATAAAGTTCCACCCATTTTTCCAAGCATACCTGCAAAAAGTCGTAGCACCTGCTTTTGTTAGAACAGGTGGATGGCAACAGTATAAAGAACTTCTGGATAGGGTATGTCACTGCATGAGTGTAATATCATATATGTATTACTGTATAAACTCCCAGAACTTGTTCGCTGGCTCCAACACATTAGCGCCCGGGACTCATCGTCGTAGGTCCCCTCCCCGCTACCGTCACAATTATACAATCGCACCCCTTTCTCCCACTTCTGCTTCCCCTCCTGCTTCTATGATTTCCTCTCGTTTATCCCGTGCACGAGCGGGCATTGC